ATCGAATGGTGATACTTTTATTCCCCAGCAATACTTTGTGAAAATTCTATCTGGTTTTTCTTGTCCTATTTAGAAGGAAACAAAGGTGTAGGTAAAATTTCTTCCTAACTATTGCTGGGGAGTAAAAGTACCACCATTCGATCCAGAATTAAATTCTGCATCGAATGGTCTGGTTTTTATGGACCGGCAATAGTTCTGAGAAGACTTATAGTTGAATCTCTGTTTCATCGTGCTAGCTCCGTCGTGCTAGCTTCACACTGATTGAAATATGACGAATGAAACTTAAGCATAAGTAATATTAGGAAAATTCTAGCCTGTTATGGCTTTATGAATTCTTCACAGTCGAATTTTATATTTCGCAGCACGTCCAGCTTTCATTAAAAGCATAGTTCAGAATTGCTCATCTTTTATGTTCTTAAAGAAAAAGTATATCTGCTAAGAAAAACTCTGTGACAGATTATCGCTGCTCATAATAGATTCATTTTACCGAATAATGACTAATTACTGAGCATTTCTAAATTTACGTTTTAGCCATCTAATATACTTTTAGAAAATAATACAAGTGTTTCTTTTTTGAAATGTATTTTCACGAACTCCTCAACTACTATAATTTAGAAAAATGCAGCTGTTTGGATGGTCAATACATGTCCAATTCAATATTTAGTATTTTGACACAATCGTATAAAAACAAACTACTCAATTGACTCTTTCATTAGTACTAAAATAAATGTTCATAAAGAAAGCACAGTGCAATCTCCTATAAACGATAGAAATGACAAAATAAAAGACATGTATATCAGAGACGTGCAGAGAGTATTTTTTTCTCCTGTCCTTATCTGTCCTGTTGGCAACCTTCGCCTTGACAGGCGACAGGACAATACGTTAAAGCCATGTCCTGGTTAGCGTTACTGGTATATTTCGATTTTTCTAGTAACTGAAAACTAATTATGAGTCCGAAGTTCGAACTGCCAACTCTAGCTGTTCTCGATCAAAGTAAATATTAGTATTAGTAATCTTACGCTCAATTTATTTCACATTATTTTCAAATACAACAGATACACTTAAAATTATCACGAATTTATCAATACAATAAAATAGAAAAATGTCTTGATTTTTTTGCGACAAGAAAAAAAATATGAACAAGATTGATTGTAGCATGAATGTGATAACTTAAGCTTGATGCTATTTAAAGAAACAATAACAAATAGGCAGTGTTTTACCACAAAATAAAAAAAAATGAAACACACAAAAACAAGTTTCTACCAGACACGTGCACAGAACATCATTTTTTCTCCTGTTCTTGCCTGTCCTGTTGGCTACCTTGGTCATGGAGGGCGGCAGGACAGAACAGGAAAACAGGACCGTCCTGCTTTATGCACGTCTCTGATGTATATTATGCGAAACCAAACGCATATCCTGTGAAAACAAACTGATGAATATAATTAAATGCAAGTTCCTCGTGCCGTTCGATATTTCAGTATGATCCCTTATCCATATCTGCATGGTCAGTTGTTTGTCCTTCATTTTCGGAATGTACACTGGCTAAATCCAATTCGAATTCATTTGGCGGGTCGGTTCCTATATTATTTTCTAGATTTACTGGGAGATCTACCATACTATTTGCTGATCTATTTCTTGTTAATAGTCGTGCTCTAGAATGCCAATAACCATACGAGAAATAAATAATTTGACCCAATAGTGTCCAAGCAAGAAATCGGAATCCAGTCGCTTTTGATACACCTTTCAAAAGAAGCACACAAAGTAGCGAGCCAACAGTTGGAATGAGCCATTTACCACATGGCACTTTATATCGCCTTGGCATATCCTTATGTGTGAAACGCATCTACCAACAAGTTTTTCAGATGTAAGAATCAAGAAAAAAATCCAAAAAAACTTACTACTACGACAGAAACATGTGCAAAAATATATGATACTAACGCACCGATTGATGATATTTCACCAAGAATATCGCCGGGACAGAGACCAGAAAAAAACGCACAAAAGATACCTATAAATAGTAAGATTAGTTTTATCCAAAAAACTATTGAAGAAAGTACTCTAGTTACCACAAATCAAAGTGGCGATCCAAGGAGTGATCCACCTCCGATGAATTCTAGCAAATATTTTTGGTAACAAGCCATCATTAG